AAGCAGGAATCAAGCGAGTGGTACTAATAGAAAGACCACTCTTTGATGTATAAGTGCTCACATTACCGTTCACCCCTCTTCAGGTAATGGACAAATATTTTGAGTTCGAAAAAGTGACAGAACTTTCCCGCCAACCTAATATGTCTGTCACCTCTGACGATTAGCCCTTCTGGACCATACGGCCTTCCAAAAGACAATGTCTTTATGATGAGAGGATACCTTTCCAGTCCTCCCCCAGTTCCTGATTTATGAAAATAAACAATGATTCCATTAAAGCTCCAGTACCTTTGACATCTGTGTTTGGAATCGGCGCCCGTTTGTAAGAAGTCGTATTTGAAAGCCGTACAAAGAGAATTGTGAGTGGCCCTCTTGTCTGGGCTTCAAATTCTTCCGCTTCAGCAACTTGAACGAGCCAGTCCTCAGGGAGCTCACGACCCAGCCCTTTTGAGACATATCTGAAGTAGTCGCAGTATTGCGTGTTCGTGAATTTCATTTTGAAACTCAGAAAACTCAAGATACTTTTCAACAGTTTTGCAATTTTTCTTCGAATATTTTAATTCATAGCATCTTCCTTAGTGTATACTGCTGTACTCCAGGTTGTGAGGAAGTGCTACCACCGCACCGTTCATGTATAGATCGTCGTTCCCATGTAACAATTGGTGCCCAACACCTAGATCTGTACAGAGAGCACAAGGAGAAAACGAGATAGATTTCATCAAGGATATTGAGACACGTTTCAAATTTATTGGAAAATCAAGAAAAGGGAAAGTGAGAGGGCGGTTGAATAAGGTGTCTCTGTTGACGTCAGCCTCGAGTGGGCCGGAATCCACGGAGGCGACTGCATAAGTGTAGACTGATTTGCTAAAAAATGGCACTCGTCTCTTATCTCCCATCCTAATTTTTAACTTATGACTCTCATGGGCAGTGGATTATACCACCTTTTTCGTAAACTGGGGTGACTGTCTGACCCACCGCTCACACGCATAGTATCTACGCTTTGCAATTTTTTCATTTGCCTAGAACCGAATTGGACGCTTTCGGCTGAGCATGAATTAAAGGCAAAGGGCGCGATGAACAGACAGGGCGTGTGATGTAAACAGGGTACCCACCCCCCCCCCCCCCCCCCCC